AACTCCGATACCCTCACATGTAGGAGAGATGTTACACATAGACATTTTCTCCACTGACAGGAAATACTTTCTCACTTGCATCGACAAGTTCTCTAAGTTTGCTATTGTCCAACCGGTCCCTTCAAGAACCATCGTGGATCTGAAGCCAGCGTTAATGCAGCTGATGAATTTTTATCCAAAAGCCAGATCCATCTACTGTGACAATGAACCGTCATTGAACTCAGAGACCATCGTGACTATGCTCGCAAACAACTATGGGGTCAGCATTTCAAATGCACCACCATTGCATAGCATCTCGAATGGACAGGTTGAGCGCTTTCACAGCACTCTCTTGGAGCTAGCCAGATGCCTAAAGATCGATAAGGGCATAAGTGACACGGTAGAAGTCATTTTACTGGCTACAACTGAGTACAATAAGTCGATCCATTCGGTCATCGACCAGAGACCAGTTGATGTGGTTCAGGCTCAACCAGATGAGCCACAAGAGAAAATACAAGAAAAGATCAGAAACGCTCAGATGACGCTTAGAGCTAGGGAGAACGCAAATCGGCAGAATAGGGTCTTTGACGTTGGTGACAAAGTTTTGGTCAAGTCCAACCGACGACTCGGAAACAAACTCACACCTTTATGTGATGAGAAGGCCGTGGATGCAGACCTGGGGACCGAGGTCCTCATTAGAGGGAGGGTGGTCCACAAGGACAACCTAAGATGACTCTTGTTTTTTTTTATTTTTAAGCCACTAGGCAAACTTGTATAAGTTAGATATAGTTTTTCAATTTACTTTTAGCCACTTGGCATAGTTTTTATTTTTGGTGGTGGGCAAACCTTTTAAAAAAAAAAAGGTTGCTAAAAAGAAAGGAAACAACCTTATTTCACAGGTTGGGATCCATAGTACTCCTTTTCTTATCAGTGGCTTCGGCACATGTCACCGACTACTCGCGTGCCAAGTACATTCCCATCATCGACGGCGAAATCTTGATATGGGAAGAATACGCCTACGTTAGGCACTCGGCAAACCTCTCAGAATACGTGCGAATTGTGGAAGAAACGGTCAAATTAATTGACATGTTCCCGCTATCCCACATGAAAAAACTTCTGAGTGTGGACACGGTACATCTACAAGACCTATTGGAGGCGTTAGGCACGCATCATAGAGTCGCCAGAAGTTTAGATTTCCTAGGGTCCATACTGAAGGTTGTGGCGGGTACACCTGATGCCAGGGATTTAGAGCAGACTAGATTTACTGAAAGGCAGCTAGTAAATGCCAACAATAGACAGATAGAAATAAACACTAGAGTTCAAGACCAGCTTAACCAGTTGACATTCACTGTCAATAAGATTCTCAAGATAGCCAAAAACTCACAAGTTGACACTAGCCATTTATTCGAGACACTATTGTCTAGAAATAGAATGCTGGTAATGGAGTTGCAAAATTTAATGCTTGCTATTACTCTTGCAAAGGCTAACATTGTTAGCCCAAACATTTTGGACCACTCAGATTTGAAATCAATTTGGCTAGAGGAACCCACCAACACTCCCATAGGAGATCTTATGTCCGTTGCGTCCGTAAAAGTCCTTCAATCCACTAACACTATACATTTTATAATTAAATTCCCAAAGATTAAACAAGCTTGCAGAAAAATTACGATTTATCCTGTCATTCACAAGAATTTCATATTGCGATTGCCTGACAACGTCATAGCCGAATGCGATGGAAAAACCCACACACTGCAGAGTTGCACCGCTTCACCTGGAGCCACCTTTTGTCGTCTGGCATTAGAGAGTTCATGTGCCAAAGAGCTCCATGCAGGTGGCACGGCACACTGTGAAATCCAGCCGAGCAACCTGGAAATAATCACCCACGTAGATGATGGAATCATCATTCTTAACGACGGGTTCGCAAGGATCCAGGTGGATAACGGCACTGAAATCCAAGTACACGGCACGCATCTCATTACGTTCGGGGACCGAGTCGCGATCAACGGGACTCTGTTTTACAACCACAACAACGTACGCAATAGAGTCCCGGGCATTGCCAACTCTCCCTTGCTGAACATCACTGCCAGCCAAGATGTCCTCAGCCTCCCTTATCTTCATCGTTTAAATGAACGTAATTTGGAGGAGATACAGCAATTCAAGAAAGACGCCGGAACTGATCAAGCTTATCGTGTGGCATTCATCATTGGAGCTATATGCTGTGCTTTAATCTACATTGGCCTCACCCTTTGGCGGTTCATCGACGCAAGGAAGTCTGCGAAGCAATTACGAGAAGTCGTCGCCGGAATTGGGTCGGCCGAGGGCGGCCTTACACTTGAAGGGGGAGTAGTTAACACATAACATTTAATATAGGGTATTTCATAAGTTTATAATCAACCCTCGCTATCGCGTGTTTCGTAAGTTAAGAAACAGCCCTCGCAATTGCGACACTGCATACTTTGTATCAGCGCGCTATAACTGCAATGGTCAGCGGCGGTAACCAGATACTTTTGTTTACTGCAAGAGTTTCCGTTATTGCCTAAGATTGCTGAGTCGGCTTGCCGACCATGACATTGTGGTGTGATGCGAGTTTTGGCTTAGCTTAAGTGAAATATTCTATGTAGCTAAAAATCAGTTTTGCATTGAAGTTTGAAGAATAAACCCGCACTACTCCGGCACACCGCCGTAATCAAATTGTTATATTTCTGATCATTGCTGAGCCACAAGGCCAGTTAATAGAAAAGGGGGTGAAGTCAAACCCTCCAACATAATCATCATAAGAAGATTATAATTACCCGACCAACGCTGGACCTGCCACCGACGCCTAGCTCATCGCTGGACCAGCAACTTATTGATTAAGACTATAAATACCCGATCAACGCTGGACCTGCCACCGACGCCTAGTTCATCGCTGGACCAGCAACATATTAATTTATACATATACATATACATACATATATATATATATATATATATATGTATATGTGTGTGTGTGTAATATTTTATTTTAGATGTATATAACTAGGTCTAGCAAATGGGCTGCTGGAGTTGCCGCCGCATTCTTTGGAACGACGCGCCGCCAAAGTAATTAAACAATATAATTAATTACATATTAATATTAACTTGGTAATTGCAACAATTTTTTTGCTGTTTTTTTTCAATAATTCTTTTCTTTTTAATTTTTTTTCTTTTTTGGCGCTGCAACAAAAAATTATTTAAAAAAAAGATACGGGAAAAAGAGAAACGAAAGCTTACGTTGTACGAGAGAAAATGCGTAATAAAATCAATGAAAGCTGCGAGCGAAAGTTGCAAAATGCAAGAGCTTAAGAGAGCTAAGACGTAAGTCGCTTGCTCGCTCTCTCTTAAGCTGGCGCTCAGACAAATGCTGAGCCGCTCACAAAGGCAACTCTTCGAAAACGCACCACTAATACTAAATGCTCTTCCTTAATATTCATAAATATATGCAATACACATGCATATAGGTCTACAATATATATATATATATGTGTGTGTGTATGTGTGCGTGTTATGCACATGGATCATATGTTTTGTGTATGTGTATTTTTTTGCTTTTTTGTTTTCATTCTTATTTTCGTTTAACTCTTAAGCAAAAAACTTAAATTTCTATCACAGCCATTTTTATTTTTCGAAGAAAAAAATTGATTCTTTTTGTTGTTATTTTTTTTGTTTGTTTGTTGTTTGTTGTTGTTTTTGCCCAATTGCTGTTTAAAAAATGTTACAATACTTATAATTCTCTTGCTTGTTTTGAATGCACTTTTGTTGGTTTGTTTGTTTTGTTTGTTGCTTTGTTGCGTCAATATTTTAAAAAATTCTAATTGCACTTTTTTTTGTGTATATATCTTTAAATTGCTATTTAATAATCCAAGTTTCAACTTTTTCATTACATTTTCTTGTTTGTTGTGCATAGAGTTTTGCTTTTGCTTTTGTTGTTCTTTTGTTCTTGTTTTTCTTGCTCTCTTTTGAACACAAGGAAATGTGGCAAATTATCAAAAAATCAAAAATAATACAAAAAAATAAATGAAACCGTTAGCCACACGCTAAGCTCGCCCACCGCCAACAGCCAGAACCAAAACAAGAGAACGAACAGTGTGACCAGATCTCAGTTAATTATTTTTGCTATTTTTTAATCACTGGCCAATTAGAATTTTGGTTTAGTTTAAATTTAATTGGAAATATAATTTTGGTATTCTATGTTTAGTTTTTTAATACTTTGTGGAGTGAGGCAGGCCTGTAGGGGCGGGCACATAAGACTGTAGCAATATATATTTTAGTTTTCCCATTCTCTTCGTTTTGTTTTTTCTTTTAATTTTTAACTTTTACTGTGACTAGGAGAACGGAATTTGTATATAGTTGATTTATTTTAATTTTTTTTTTGTTTTGTTTTTAAACAAAGCGCAGTAAAAATAAACTATATGAAAATTGTTGCCTGGGTAAAGCGGCAGGAACTAGTTTTTTTTATATATATTTTTATTTTGTTAAAGTGAAACAGAAGTGGGATTGTGCCTTTGTGGAACCGTTTGGGCGGAACTTGAAATTCATGCATGATTTGATTTAAGGCTCAGGCGAGTATTATTATCATTATTACAATTATTGTTTTTTTTTTTGTTTCAGTTTTTTTTTGCTGGAATGTGATCTGAGCCTTTGGATCGCATCGTAATGCTCAAGTGTTTTTCACCTTCTATTTCTTTTTCTCTTTTTTGTTAGCCCTATTTTGTAGGAGCTGGCACAATTGTACTTAGGGAATTTTTTGTATTTTTTCGTCTTTTTTTAGGATATTTGAAAAAATACAAAAAAAAAAAACTGACGCCTTACCCTAGCCTAGAGCTTTCGATTAGTCGATGACTCTCTTGCTCCTTCTCTCTATATTTTACCTTTGCTTTTTTACCGTCATATATATATGTATATATATATATATATATCACTCGGCTACTTAAAGATTTGATATACAAATTTTTGTTGTATTTTTGTTGTATTTTTCTTTTTTTTTTTTTTTTGACTACAAATTCTTTGATTTTTGTTAGAAATTTTTGTGTTTCCGTTATTCGAGAAGACACAAAATGTTATTGAAACAAAAGTTTTGTACAAATTGCGAGACAATTATTTGCTTTCTTCTTGTCTTTTCTCTTTCTCTCTATTTTGTGTATGTGCCAAGGCGAGACTGAGGCATGCAACAAGCACCTACTTGCAGCTGCCCTAACGAAACCACAAAAGGAAAATCGAGCAAAAAATATTCAGATATCAATTATTACCCATCCCTAGACTCTAACCCTGCCTAACTGTAAATTGGGCTTAGTCGTTAGCTTAGTGCCTAAGTCTAAGTCTTAATTTATAATTAGCGCTAAATTCTAAGCCTAAAAACTCTTTGCTCTTTGTCTTGTGTAATTGTAAATGTTTGTTTTTTGCTGCTGCTGCTGCTGCTGTTGCTGCTGCTGCTGTTATTTTTGCAGTTGCTTTTGTTTGTTGGTTGTCGGTTGTTTTAGGGTTGTCTGCCTGTCCACCTGCCAGCATCCCTTACTGATACTTTCATGTCTCCAGCGAGGTGACAACCAGATTATGAAACACGCTCGCCGACTCGCTCATCATGGCCGCCTGGCCGCACGAGTCGCTGCCGCTGCTCGGCTGTGTCGGCGTGCCGAGACGCAGTGCATCCATTATGACCTCGAAGTCCTTTTGATTCTGGTTCATATCGAAGTTAACCAGCTCCAGGTGATCAGCTGCGCCGCCGCCGCTGCAGCTGCCGTTGGTCAGTTTGACACGTTTGTGATGGTTGCCGCCGATGCTTTGGTCGTTGTTGCTGCCGATGCCGGCCCCGGCGCCGGCGCCGAGCCCCACAACATCCAAGGGGCAATCCTCAATGGCCGAGATGAGTCGCTGCGGCGGTATATAGAACTGTGAGAGCGCCTCACGCACCAGCCGATCGCTCTCATCCTCGCTGTTGCTGCGCAAACGCTTCCGCGAGGCGGACAGTGCTGCACGCTCCAGCTGTTCGGCGCCCTGCGTTATCTCCGGATCGATCAATGGCATCGGCGCATTGATGGCGCTCAGCTCTCGGTCGAGTATCTCCAGATCGTTGACCAGATTGCTATTCGATAGATGGCGCTTGCGTGCCGCCACAGCAGCGGCGGCCACAATGGAGGACGACGACGAGGATGAGGGGGAGGTGCTGGAGCTGGAAGAGGATATTGAGCTGCTGTTAGCTGCTAGGGGCGTGGCACCGTGACGCAGCAGCTGCGGCGACTGATGATTCTCAATGGAGCAAATGGTGCGTGCGCCGTTGACATCTCCATAAGGCTTGTTGTTGTTGTTTGTGCTGCCGCTGTTGTTGTTGTGGTTAATTGGCTTGGCATCGTCCATGTTAGGCTGGAATATATTCTCACGCGCCAATTCCATGCTGTTGTTATCGGTTCTATAAGTCAGAGAGGGAGAGAGAGAGAGAGAAAGTGGTAAGGGAAAGTTAGTTGAGTTTTTGTGAAAAGACATTGGCAAAACGGTATAAAAGGTAAATACGAGAAAAACCTGTGCGACAATCAGACGAGCACAGACGCGTGTGTGCGTGTGTGCGTGCGTGCGTGTGTGTGTGTGTGTGTGTGTGTGTGTGTGTGTGTGTGTGTGTGTGTGTGTGTGTGTGTGTGTGTGTGTGTGTGTGTGTGTGTGTGTGTGTGTGTGTGTGTGTGTGTATTACGTAAACGATAACAATCATCGATAACTTTAATTAGCATTAAATTGTATCAATATATAACTACCGATATTATCGATAATTTTTATATACCTTAAGATTATGTATTTATCTATACAGCATTATCTAATGCCCGGAATCACCGTTATTTACCTATGACACAGCGTTTAGTGCGTTTCAAAAATGTTATCGATAGTTCTGATGCAAACATTGGCTGTTATCATATGAAATGACTCATCATTTGTTAATTTCAAAAGTTCTCGCAACGCCCAAACATTAAGGAGCTCCCCCATCCGACTCCATGTTCTACACGCGCCGCATCCATAAACCGTCCCAACAGCACCCCACCCCAAAACTGGAATCGAGGCAAAAGTGTCAGCGTGTATTATCGATGTCAGTTTTGCAGGCCAGTATGCTGGTCCGTGGGTCGCACATTAATTAACTGGGCCAACTGTGCGCCGCTTGGAGCCAGTTAAAACGGGCTAACGCAAACGCAAAAGCTGGCGGCTGGCGACCAACGGCGAAGTAAATTTCAGCTAATTTCTCTTTCAATAAAAGCAAGCGACAGACCGACCGAACGACCGACACGCCCCTCTGCGCCGCCCCTAACCAACGGCCCACCTTACGAGCGTAGTTTAGCCAATATGCCAAAGCGTTTGAAAAAGCAGCAGCAACAACAACAGCAACAAATACAAATGTGAATTAAGGCAGCAAAGGTAGAAGACAAAGCCATCAAAAAAACGAAGAAGAAGAAGCAGCAGCAGAGTGGGACAACGACAGCGACGCATTAAAATGCGCAGCTGAGCATGTCAATGCTCACTATTAAAGCAGAAAAGAGCAACAAACACAAATACAAGCACACACACATACACACGCACTCAATAACGGACAAGAATGGCATGGGCAAGGTGCATGGTAGAGAGGGAGAGAGAAGGAGAGTGTAAGCGCGGATAGGCGCAGAGGTGCAGGCGCGCGCGAAAAAAAATGAAAGCGAAAGTACGTAGGAATCCGTATGAAAACAAAATGAACCACTCAAAAATACCCTATACAATAGCAAGTTAATTCAAATACATATGTATACACATGTATATTTTTATATATATAGTAAAAATATATTCCATATATACATATAATCATGTTTCATTATGTATTTATATATACCCCACTAAGACTGACTTTGCTCTAACAATAGTCCACGCCGCTACACACTCTTCACACCAATTTTTCAAGGGTATTAAAACACAATATGAAAACAACGAAACGCTAAAGAAGCAGCGTTAACAAATCGCGCGCTCCAGAGCTTTATAGAAACCAAAACCAGAAAGCGTACAACAACAATAACGGCGCAACGTAACACAGAGTCAAAGAGAGCGTGGGGTTAGGAAGTACATCAGTCGAAAAAAAAGTATATTAGTTTAGTTGTTGTTGCTATTATTGCCTGTTGAATGTGTTGCTCGCAGCACCGTTAACTTGAAATGTTGCTTGGGCCAAGAGGCGAAGGTAGGGGCGCGTCGCACACACGAAATGGGAGCAACGACAGCGAAGCAGCAGGCAAAAGGGTAAGCAGCAAAAAGCAGCAACTCACTGACCAAAAATAAGTTGCCAAAAGCAGAGCGCAGAGCACGGCGCAGAGGGCGCAGCCAAAGCATGTTAAATGCAGCCGCAGCGGCGAATGCGACGACTGCAGCGCTGGCTCTAGCGCCAGCGCCAGCATTCATTGCACAAGTGACCCCAAAATAAAAGTTGCCAACAGCAAAAAGTTTGCGGGGGGAGGGGGGTTCGGAACGTTTTATGCTCTGCTGTCATGCTCAAGTGCTTTATCCATCATATTACATAAAATATTCATCTGCAAGAGAGAGCCAGAGAGAAGGCAAGTGTGAGAGGTAGAGCGAGTGCTACCCCTTATCCTCAGCCGCATTGCTTTTCAGCTTCCAAAAGAAGCTTTAAATTTTGAATAAATCAAAGCAATCAAAATTACACTTGGCAAGCGGATCGCACAAAGCTCTGCTTTTCACTTCAGTATGACGACATCAAAGCGCTTGGCTTGAGCTTACACTCGATTGCGCTTTCGAGTTCTTCTGACAGCAATTAATAGTAATAAAGCTTTTATCAATGTTTTTGGGATGCCATCGCGTTGACATTGAGTAGCTACAAAAGCAACGGCCACATATTGACAGTGTGTAAGAGTGAGAGCGCGCGCGCTCAATCACTTGTAAGCGAGTCTGTGTGTGTGTGTGTATGTGTACATACGAACTCAAGTATGCGCGCGTGTGTACGACTGTGTGCGTTTGCATGGCATGCGACCGATAAGCAAACGGTATTGTCCACTCTGCTTCAATAGCAAACTGACTCGACGAAACAGGGAGAGGGGGCAAGTGAAGCTTTGCTTACTACTTGTTAGCTTCTTTTTTTCTTTGTTTTGTCTTATCTGTGTTTTCGTTTTGCGCACGTTTTCTCGATGGTCTGTGGCGAAATATGCCGCTGTCTCTTATGTATTCGAGCGTTTGGTAGGGAGACAATACTATACACATATACAAGCACACAATTCATAGGAAAATTGGGGCATATTAAGCGCTTCACCTGCGTGGCGCGGCGTGGCGTGTGCCTGTTGGCCCCGCCTTCTTTGGCCTTCGCAGCGCCTCCCACACTTTGTGCGTTCTGTTTCTTTGATTATGATTTCGAGTTCAAGGCTATTAACTCGTGTATTTACAAATTATCTATCATTTGCCTTGATGCGATCCTTACAAATAACGTTCTCGTTTATACTTGACTAGCATATACCCCATCGATGCTTAAGTTATGCCTTTTCTTTATAAAAAGCTCTTGATATACATAAATATAACGACATACATATGTAGGCATATACACACATACATATGTACTTTTATAAACGTCTCCATCTGCCTGTGCCTGCCCCATACATACACTTGCACAACTTAATTATACACATTTTTAATGAGTACAGGGTATATGAAATGCACAAGTGGAGCAAGCGACGGCTAGCGATGGCAAGCAACGCAGTCTAAAAATGTTAAATAAAAAATGTCACACAATCGAACAAGTGCAAAAAGAAAAAGAAAAAACGAGGAACAGCGCGTCGACAACGTATGTAGAAATGGAAGCGAAGGCAAATGACGTTATAACGGTAGAGGGGCGCAAAGTCGCAAATGTAGGACGACGCACATTCGTTCGTGCGCTGCAGGGGTCGCTTCGAGCCGCAGGAGGCGGCGTATGTCACAGACAACTTCATTTAAAGAGTAGGGCGAGAACAGAACGAACACCCCACACCCAATCCGATACAAGCTTAGCCCAACAACCTAACCCAGTCGCACTCACACACATGTATATTCACATACATACGTACACACATAATACTTCCCCTCCACCACACTACCACACACTTTACTGTTTGTTGCTCCGTTTCGCTTCGTGTGATATGCTGGCCATGCAAATTGAATTTAAAGTGATTTTAAAGAGCGAATTCGCTGTGGTTGCCCCTTGAGTAGATTTCGCTGCTAGTCTCTTTCTCAGTCTGCCTCTTACAGCAACACTATACATTTTTACTTATCAGCCGTTATTTGTCAATATGTATGCATGGGCGCATGTGTCTGTATATATATTGATAAGCAATTACAAATAGCAACAAATATGTGAAAATGCAGAGCGCGCGCGTGTCGTCACCTAAAAACAAATACTTAAGAATGTTCACAAGATTGGATTGTGAATAATCGTTTAATTATATATGCATACACACATATGTATATAATATTGAACAAAGCTTAAAACGCTAGGAGTTCTGAGTATGCATTCATACGTCTATGTACATATGTACGAACTGTTAATGGATATGTAAATGTATGTATGAACGTATGACAACGTATATATCACTCTCAGAAGCAAATAAAAAAAGTAGCCCGTCCTCCCCTCGTCAATTCTAATTGTATAATCTAATTGTTCTAGAATCTAGATGCTTTAAATGCGCGCCCAGACAAACAAATGCAAATGGCACACGCCCTACGCCTTCTCATCCATGTGATTTCTGAGTATGCAAGCGTGAGTGTATCTGTGAGTGAGCGAGTGTTTGTAAAGTAGGCAATCGCAGCTTGTGGTGCAATCGTTACCGAATAGATGAGATGCGCAACAAAAGCACCAGCAGCAGCAACCGCCGCAGCAGGCCCAACAACAACAGCAGCAGCCAAAGCGACAGCAGCAATAGAAACAACAGACAATATAACAGAAAACTATAAAAACGTCGTCGCAGTCGCGAATTATTACGACGCCGCAAAATGGGGCGGTGGGTTACAAAATATGTGCAAAGAGCAAAGTGAACAAGCGAACGAACGAACGCATAAGCGAGGGAGCGCGAGCGCCTCTCTAGCACTCTCGCTAGCTCTCTCTTCCTCTCTCTCTATCTCGCTGGGTGCATTTGCCTGTGTAAATGTGTTGTGTTTGTAGTAAGGCGAAAGCAAAGGGGGTGTGTTTAGAGGCGTCTGATGCGGTAAGAAATTGAATAAGCATTTGGTGTTTTTAAATACGTTTTTACAACTACAGAAAAAACTAAATCGCGTTCCGATAACTATCTGAAACCGATAATATACTGTGCTGTCTTTAGGTTAAGAACGCTATGCAGGCGGCACAATAAATTAGATTACACACATACATACATAGATAAATAAGCATGCACAGTACATAGAACATATGCAGACAACCAACAAAACAGGCATGTATACACTGTACTTACATACGAACATACATTTTGTCATTTTCTTTTATAAATTTCTCCAACATACATTAAGCGCCTATTTTTTTCTCTCTTTTAATTAAATTATCGATTGCTGCTGCTGCATGGCAACTTCAAAGTAATAAGCGCATAGGCATATATGCATGTGTGTGTGTGTGTGTATGTAACAACATGCATAAACATATATACCTATATGCATGCACAGGCATACTTACAAATGAATGTACATATGCAAGCGTCTCACTGGAGAAAACATGTCAAACAAAGCAAAACGAAGCAAAAACGGAAACGCAGCACACGAAACGGCAGCAGCGGCAACAAAGACGTCGGCGTCAACGTCGCGCCAGCAGCAGCGACAGCGACCAACTCTATGCCAAGAAGCGAATCAAAAGCCAAAAGGAAAAACTGAGATTGCGATGAATTAAGTTTTTGGCTGCGCGCAAAAATAAACAACAAAAAGAAGAGCTTCAAATGGCTATGTGCATGTGTGTAGTAACGGCATTTTATTTGTTTTCTCTCCTTGCAGGCGCGCTGAAGCAAGTGAAACAAAGAGGAAGCGCCAACAACTACTGCAAAAAGAAAGCCAAAGCGGCGCTATGTCCATCACACTAGATGATGATAAATGACAGTTGCTGGGGTGCGCGCTATCCAAAGGGAGGAGCGAAAATTGAAGTTGCTACGCCATAATCTTGACACGCGTACGTAGGCAAAAAGCAATATCAAATACAACGTAACAATGTTAACAGTAAAGCAAATGGCAAAGCCAGTTGTAAGAATACAACTTCATAAACTCAGACCAAGCGCAAAACAAAAGAAATACACAAAAATCAACAACAATAACACTATTATTCTATATACTGGCGCAGAGCACAGTAGGCCAGGCTATTTAACGGCAAACGCCAGTGGTGGCAGGCAACAGCAGCGAGCCCAGCAAAAAAAAAATAAACAAACTCAACTGCTTGACATTAAGGAAATAAGATAAACAAAAATTTCTATAAATTTCAAATTATGTACATTGTATATTGAGTAGGTCTAAATTCCGAAATATCGATAAGCTTTTATCAATATACACATTGGATACATACACAAGGCTTACACAGATACATACATAGCAACCACTTCAGGCAGGCCATCTATTCCTGCAGGGCATGCAGCCTTTGCCTTGAGAGAGCGCTGAGCGCCAAAGAGCATAAAAACTGCATACGAAAAGAAAGGCAGCAGCGGCAACAAAAGCAATAGCTGTTAATGATCACCAATACATATGCAATAACCAATTGCGCTCAATAATTGAAACGCATTTCAAGATCAGCTCAAATCAAATACAGTATTTTTTCTTTTTTATTTTTTAGCCGTAATTCTTTCGTAATATTGTATTTTGTGTGTTAAAAGTTTTAATAACTCTTTGGACTCTGCATGGCTAAAAATAATTATACGCATACACACACACAGATGAACATACTAATGTCGCTGTCTGTGTGTGTGTGTTTGCAAAGTCTGAAGGTTTTGGTTGCGTTTTGTGCTGTTGTTGTTGATGTTGGCATGCGCTGGCTTTGGCTTGTGGTATTGTGTGTATGTATGTGAATATATATATATATAATATATAAGTATGTATGTATATATCATATGTATGTATATATCTATGTATGTAATCTAGAGGTGCACTAACAACAAAAACAGCAACGTTGGTTGCTATCATCGCAGTCGCTACTCTCAGTTGCTGCTGCTGTTATGGTTGCTTTTTGTTGCAAGTGGAACGTGATTATTTCAACGAGCGCAACGTTTTTTAGCGCACACATATATGTATATATATATATATATATAAATGCATATACAGACACTGTGTGTGTATTTCTACAGCTTGCTTTGATTTCTTTTGGTTTTTTGTTACTGCTGCTGCTGCTGCTGCTCGCGCTATCTGCGAAGGTTGTTTCCCGCTGTATTTGGGTGCGCGTGTTGTTTTTGTTTTTGTTGTGTTTTAAACGTTTTTCTTTTCTTTTGTGTTTTCTGTTCCTGTCTTTACGAATTTTTTGTTTCGCTGATTGACAGCAATAACTTGATTATTGACTATCGTGCGTATGCGATAATTACGATCGATTATCGATATATGTGTATGCCAAATTGTTATCGAATCTTAAATGTATCTTATTTTTCATACCCTGTAACCATTTGGAATACCTTAATAGGGTTTAATCAAGTCGTTCCCAAGCTATGTATGTATGTATGTATGTATGTATGTATGTATGTATGTATGTATGTATGTATCTATGTATGTATGTATGTATGTATGTATCTATGTATCTATGTATGTATGTATGTATGTATGTATGTATGTATGTATGTATGTATGTATGTATGTATGTATGTATCTATGTATGTATGTACGTACGTATATGTATATGTATATATGTACATATACGTATACACGTTAGTCGAGCATACTTTACTAGAATACTCTTGTTGCTGTTGTATTGCCTCTCATCTTTACTCGCTGCTGCATACACACGCCCTTCTTTACAGAGCCAGACAAACTGACAGACGGAAGAGACAGACAGACACACAGTCAGACAGTCGGACAATTTTAGTTGGCTCGCCTGCTGCTGCTGCTGCTGTTGCTGCTGGCTGACTGCGTTTTTTTCTCTTTTCTAGTTGCTGCCTCCTCTGCGCTGCCGTTTTTCGTTTCGTTTTGTATTTTGTGTCGTTTCTGTTTGAACTGTTTGCTGTTTGTTGTTGTTATTGTTTAATGTCTCTTGAGTATCTGCTTTGGTTTGCTTTGCTGTGCTTCGTTTTGCTTTGCGCTTGGCCTGAATGCAACAAAAAATAAATAAATAAAAGAAATACTGTGCACGTTCGCTATAATGAACTAATTGTAGTCAAGTTGGTTTTCCCCTCCTCCCTCGTTCTCCACACACACGCTTTCACAAAACATAGAAAACATAGAAATTCCGTCTGTCTATCGGGCTGTGTGTATGTTGGGTAAATTTATCGTTCATTTTAACGACAGCTTACTGTACGCTCATTGTGTGGCCTGCAACCATAGCTGTTGTTGTAAGCCTGCAGGAAGCTACGGCGGCGACTAGCTGCGGTTGGCGTTGACCACAGCCTAAAGACGGAAATATCCTTGTGAGCGCGTCAAGTTACACAGCAAGCAAAACTGAACGAAATACTTGTTAGAGCGTTGCCACGCAGGCAATAAAATGCCACTAACAAGAGCTGCTATAACCCAACATCATTTCCAATGATCACTTCAAACAGATTATAACAACGCAGAAAGCGAAATACATGCATATGCATACACATTTAGAAACTGTTATATGTATATTTAGCACACTTCAACTATTTTGAGTAATCGCCTTATTTCTTGCGCTCTTCGTCGCCTAGACACGCACTTTGGCCTTTCGCTAACTGCGAAGGTTGCTACACGCTCACGCACAAACTTTAAAGGGCAATCGAGTGAACGAACACGCGTGGGCTACGGCTACGGCAACGGCAACGGCTAAAGCGCGAGCCAGTGTTGCCAATTTAGCTTTTTAAAAAGTTAATACTAACATATATTTAATGTATAACTAAATGGAGTAGTTGTTCATTTCCAATTTAACACTTCTTAAAGAAAAAGGGTATTGCCAAGTCGATACGTTTTAATTGGTTTTCAACCAACTTGTTTTTAGTTATTTTCTTTGTTTTTGGTTTTTTTTTTTGGCTGGCAGCACTGGCTCCCTGTCACAGCTTATAATCAGACACATATTCATATATATGCACATACATTGCATTGACATATGCAGTTACACATATGTCTGTATGTATGTGTGCTTTTCATTCTTGTACTTACTTTGGCAAATTCTGCAGGTAACGCATTTGCTTCTCACGTCTCAGCTCATCGGTAAGTCGGCAATAGGTGTTATTGATGCACACGCTGCGGCGCAAATTCGCCTCAGAGTCCTTAATGCGCTCAAGCTTGTGGGCGCACAGCTGCAGGATGCGTTTGCGCTCCTCGCGCTGACGTAGCTTTGGCGAGATCATTGGCACGCGCGACCGATGATGATGATAGCCAATGGGGGGTGAACAACGCGGCGGTCCAAACATGTCCGAATCATCATCGCTGCCGCTGCCGCTGCCATTGCCGCCGTTGCCATTCGCTGCATTTGTATTGGTTGGCAAGGTCATTGTGCGATGTGTCTGTGTCTGTGTCTGTGTCGATGCCTGTGAATGTGTCTGCTCGTGTGTGTGCGTGCGCGACTGCAAGTGTGTGCGTCTGAATCGCATTCAAAGCTTCGCTTTCGGACTCTTTAAGTCTCTCTTTTTGAACTACTACTGCTGCTGCTTCTGCTCTTCTTCTTTTTGCTTAGTTGCTGTTGCAATTGTTGGTGCTTCTTCCCACTGCACACAAGGTAAACCGCAAAGCGTTCATATGTTTATTTTTGTAATGGATTTTATTTTTTTTTTCTTGTGTTAAATTCTCACTTTTTTGAATGTTTTTTATGTTGAATGTTCTCTCGTAGTAAAATTTTAACACACTGATTTTTATAATTGTTGGCTTTTGATAGGAAGTAGCCTACTTCTTTTCGTCCTCATATATTTTCTTTTTTTGCAATTACAACACGCGTTTGTATAGGGGAGCGTGTGTATGTGTGCGTGCGTGTGTTTGCTCTCTGGTATGTTGCTGCTTGCGTCGCTGTCGCTGCGCTGTTGCTGTGTGAGATTTCACTTTGCTTTTGCTGTTTGTTTTTGTTTGTATATATGTGTGTGCGTGTGTGGCCCGTTATGTTTCGTTAATTTTGCATTAACTCGCACGCTTTGTCTTTTAGTTGTATTTGCATTTGTATTTGTATTTGTATTTATATTTGTATTTGCATTTGCATTTGTATTTGCATTAGCGTTTGTATTTACCTCTGGTATCAAAATTCAAAATAATCCAGGACTTTTGAATTTATTCGAGGGCACAGAACCCAACAAAAATAAATTTAAAAAAATAACAAAAAAAAACAACTGTATATATTATATTATTAACTGTTCAGTTAGGCACACAGTGTTGACAATTACAATTCAAGTTGGCAGCCTTTTTCTTATTTATTTATGTTAAGTATTTTTGTTTTATTTATTTATTTGGTTTCTGGATATTTTCTTTGAACACGCGGCTTCTTTAGGCGGTGGGCAGTGCAAGTGCAGTTTGGAGGGCTAAATAGGGGGCGCGGTTTAAAAAAGGGCGACGCACACAAAGTCAAAAGAGAGAGAGGCACAAAAGTCTTTTACTAATTGTTTGATTTGTTCTTTGAATTAAATGTTTTTTTTGGTAATTGTAGGCGCCTGTTGAGGTTGCGTGAATGTGTAAAAGATAGAGAGTGAGAGAAAGAGAGCGCGCGGAACGTGTAAGTTGGGGAGCGCGTGGTTTTTGTTGTTGCGTTACTTGTGTTACTAGGCCGAACTTTGCCGCTGCCGCTTGCACGTCCGCACAGTTCTCGCGTTCGATGTGAACTGAAAATTGAATGAATGAAGCGCACGGGCTTTAGCTGGCATCAGCAGCGACAGCAGCAGCAGCGGCAGAGGCAGGCAGCGGCTGTTTTGTTTGCCTGACAGCAACGACGACGTCGTTGTCGACAGCGCGCACAGATGTTCAAGCTACTTCGGCTCGGTCTCTGGCGGCATCGCAGCCGCACGTACAAACGGAAGTAGCGGCCAGCAGAGACGTCGGCTAACCTAAGCTGAGCCGAACAGAGCAGAGCAGAGCAGAAGCGCCAGCCTAAGAGCGTAAAGAGAGCGTTGCTATACAGCATAAAGAGCACAGTGCATGGCGTACGTGCGTGCTGTGCTCTATATATATGTGTGTGTGTACGAGTGTCGGTGTGATATGCAAGATTTTGGCATTGGATGAGTGTGTGTGTGTGGGGCATTTTCTTAGCGTGTTTTGTTGTTTGTCTGCTGGTTGCTGCTGCTGCCATTTGTAACGGAAGCGAAACGCAAACACACGCGCCGCTGGCTCCAATAGCAAAGCAAAGGGCGGTGGCGGCGGGTGGGCTCACATTTGGCAAAATTTCGAGAACCTCTTGTGTTGTCTTTTGTCGCCTGCCGCTCCGGCGGCTTGGCACGCGCTTTGGCAGACGCTGCGGCCAATGAGCATCAAGTTTATAGTTTCCTTTTTGCATACACACACACATATATATACACATGTAGATGTTTGCATTATTTCATCTCTCCTTTTTTGCTAGTGTTTTTGTTTTTTTTTTTTTTATTATGTAAAAAGTGACTGGCCTTAAGCGACAGACGCCACAGACAGTCAGCGGCAGCATTTATTAAGTTGCCAGTCAGGCGCATGACAAATGGCGGCGACTCTATCAATATAATTTTTTCGGTTTTTTCTTTTTTTTGGCAAATGCAAATGCAAATGCTTACCAACTGTTCCCAATATGCAAGTTGCATGTGAATGTGTGTGTGTGTGTGAAAACTTGAGGTCACTTTTGGCACTCTCTTAATATGTGCCTATGCATGAGTGTGTATGTGTGTTTGCTTGTGTTCAGCCAGACTATACACAGTAAGCGTAATCTCTTACAAACACACAGGCCAACATCAAGCGCGCGCGCTTGAAGAGAGCGTCTTGTTGATCATTATGATTATTAAAGTTGTTTTTGTTGTTGCTAATTTCTTGTTATTAATTGCCACTGCGTCGACTTCTAATTCTTTGAAACAATTTTTACTTTGCTTGAGCTGCCAAAAGCAAAAAAAAAAATAACAAAATGGAATCCAGCGATAAACAATGCAAAATACAATTTTCTTGCTAAGCGTCATGACTCAAAATGTGTTTAACTGTGAACTGAGTGGGCAGCGAAATACATAAGAAGAAGCACAAAGCAGTGAAATAACTGTATCCTAAAAAACACAAATTGCAACCACGACCAATTTATACGAATGTATATACATATATATATATATATATATATATATATTTGCTTAACCTAGAAGATTTTCCTTTAGCGCATAAAAAATATGTATGTATGTATGTATATGTATAGGAAACAAAAAAACTGTGAACTAACCTCATTTCGTTTTTATTATGATGAGGAACTGTGGCAACAGCGAAAGAGAGAAAGAGATATATGGCAAATGTTTTTTGTTTTTTTTGTTTTCCTCGACCTTGCAGACGTGTGTACTTATTATCTATATAACTCAAACTTTTACTTGCTATGCACAAATACATACACACATGCGTACGTACTTATAAATAGCTGTTTATTTGCAAAAGTAATCATCAATGGAGTGCTACAAATGAACTGATTCGCTTTTAGTTCAATGTCAAATACATCTACACACACCACTACACACACCACTACACACATGCACACGCACGCATATATGCACGTGGCTGTGTGCATATCCTATTGCATTGACCTTTGGCGGCCTTCGCTGTTGCCCCTGGCCCCTGTCTCTGCTTGCTAGCTATCTCGCGCGTACCCCCATTTAAATTTGATTTTGCTGTGCGGCAGCAAACGGTATTTTGTAAAGATAAATTCAAATTACGTAATTAAGCAGGCCTAACAATTAAGTATTTATTGCTTTCAATTTGCTGCACGATAAGCCCAAAAGTACAAAACAAAAATCGTAACGCACACACACACAGAGATGCGACTGACGCACGCCGAGCTGCCAGCAGCAGAAGCAGCAGCGACAGCGTCAGCAACTACCTGCGGCGACTGAGCAAAAAGAAATCACCGCGCTTAATTTCAAGATGGTGTTTCGTTTTTATTTTTTACATTTATTTCTTTACTTTTCTGTTATTGATGTTGCTGTGTACGTTCTTTGGCCAAGGTGTGTGGGGGGCGGGGGGCGGCGACATGGCGGGCTTTGCGTTTAGCAGGTACTCTGAACAGCAAACGCAATGGCATACGAACAACAAAAGGTGCCGCAACGAAAACGAAAACGAAAACTGCCCACTGCCAAAGCAAAAGCAAAAACAAAAACAGCAGTAACAACAACAAAAACATAAGCAGCAACAGCGCTGTCAACGTCAACGCATATGCAGCAGCCGACGCTGTCGCGGCGTCTGCATTTCTCACACAATTCGCCAAAGTCGCGTTAAAGCCAAACAAAAACACAAATCCCAAAAGGCAGACGTGCCGCCCCCATGAACTAGTAGGATATATATATATATAAATGTATATATACATATACACACAGCTGTATCTCAGCTAAAGCTACAGCAACAATTTAATTATCAATAACATATTTAAGTTTCGTTTGCCTCTAACGCCCCACCATTGCCACTGGCTAACTGTGTCTGTGTTGTGTTTTCTTTTTTGTGTGTGTGTTTTTTTTGCGCGCACGCTCTCTTTTGCTGCTTGTCGTACGCTCTTTGCATTTGCAAAGCAGACACAGCAACGCAACTACAGTGCCCACTTCTCGCATATTTTTGAGTGCCATTTATATTTTTTAGCATCAATAGTTGTATTTCTATTATTATTTTACAGTTATTTCACAAAGTATATATTGTCATTTTATTATTAGTAACACTCTTTTAAATATATTTTTTTGTAATTCGATCTTCTGTTATCCAAATGTTAGAGCTAAAAGTATAAATACAACTACATGCGTTCATTCCATGCTACCTAAATGGTGTGTCTGTTGTATCATTAACATTCCATACAAACAGTCCCACTGTGCGCCGTGTGAATGAACGTATAAAAAGTGAGAGCGCGTCGCCGTCGCGCTCATAAACGAAAATCAATGACTCCCAATGCGCGCCGACGACTGTTGAGCGTCGTTTGCCCCGCAGCGTCGCAGCGTTCTCCTCCGCTCCATACAGCACATCACATTGGCTAGCTCTATTGTTTGTTGTTGCGGTGGCTTCTTCCTTCGTTCATTTGTTCTTGTTCTTGATATTGTTGTTGCCGTTGTCGTTGGCGGCCAAAGCAGCGCAGTGATAAATGCGTCAGCGTCAGCAGTTTTGACTGCGGCATGTGTGTGTGTTTGTGTGTGTGGTTGTGTGCGTGTCCTGTTCTTGTTGTTTTTATGCAGTAAAAATGACTCGTGTTTGGAGCATTGTTGATTTGAGTCTAAGTATTTAAAGTTGATGCTGGTGCTATTGCATACACACACACACACTTAAGCACAAGCAGAGAACAGGCCAGTTTTCGTTATTGTTACTGCTGTTGCCATTTTACAACGTCTGCGGGCGCTGCTGCCGTTGGCGTAGACGCTGCCAGCGTTGCCGTAGCTGTCGGTGCTTTTAACTGTGTGCCCTTCACAAAAAGTGGTCGTTGTTGTTGCTGTTTGTATGTTTACCTACATTTTATATGCACATACATAATAGCATGCAAGTTTGTGTGTGTGCGTGTGTGAATGTTTGCGTTTACGTATATTATACATAAATTTGGTCATGTTTGCAATATACAGAATCTATTGCAAAGCCTAAAGGCCCATCCAAAAGGGTAACGTAACTGTAATGCGACCAACGGAACGACTGGCTACAGCATATTCCCTACCTCCTTCTCTCCCTCTCTCTTTGATGGTCTGCTTCTCTGTTGGTTTGCCTGTCGCTCTCTTCGCTCTTTGTGTTTATGCTTTCAACATTGATACGTGCCACTTTTCGCCGACATCAGAGAGATACACAGACACATATACACACGCATATAATGCTGCAGCAGCGGCAGCGGAGGGACACGGACAGCTGGCTAAGTTTGTAATTAATTGCGGCCTTGCCACACACCGACCAACCAACCAACCAACCGACCAACCGACCAGCCGCCCGCCCACCCCCAACGTTGTATGTCCACTGGTGCTGCTGCGACGTGAGAAAGCTGTAGATGAAACGCTTCGCTTCTCCGCCTCGCTGCCCAGCGCTGCTGTCATGTTTTTTTCGCTCTTTGTGCGCTTAAAGACCCTGCACAGGGCAAATGCTGTTTTGGGCAGAGAAAGTGCGCTAGTTACAGTTGCAATATAAAGCTTTGACTTCACATCTAACCCC